GGGACTCAGCAAAGCAACATCTTATACTCGAGGGACCATTTGTTATTTACCCTAAGCATAATTTATGGGCTTCCTATACATTTAGGCGTTATTAAAAATGGGGAAAAAGTTTTGAGAAGGACTTAATTGTTAGAAATTAAAGCTAAATGGATTTATTTGTAAAGTTAAAAGGATAAAATAAATGAATTGAAGCCCAAGAAAAAGTTAGAAAAATTAATAAAAAGAAAAAACGAAAAATAAAGTCACGGAGAAGGAACATGACAGCCTACCACCACTCTCAATCGATTCACGATTATTATTATTATATATATTTTCTCCTTTTATTACATAATTATTTACTCAATCATAAATCAAATTTCTCCTTTAATTCAACTCACCGGAAACCGCAGCCTTTTAACCACCGGAACACATTTATTCTCCTTTTCTCTCTTCTCAAAATAAACTTTGACTTCAATCAAATTTCAATGAACAAGAATTTGCTTTGAAAAAGAAACAGAAATTTCCTTTTTTGGGTTTCGGAAATTGTGGGATTTTGGTTTGGGGTTTTAGAAGAAAAGCAGAATGGGATGTGCAGGATCGACGCCGGCCAAAGGTGACGGTGAGGCTATTTTTCTTTGTTTGCTTTGGTCTTTTTTCTTGTTTGGTTGCTATGAAAATCGTTGGGAAAGTTGGAAGCTTACAGAACAATGACAACATCTGTGAATTGTTTGAGCTCGAGAAAACATTGAGCTAAACTAGTCAAATTCTAGATTAATTGGAAAAAGTTTCTGATATTTTCTAAGCAGCTAAAAGGCTGCTGCTTGAATTTCATTTACTTGTTTATTTTTGTTTCAGAAAAAAAGGAAAAAAATGGGTCTGAGAGTTGCTAAATTTGGGATGATTTTTTGAATGTTCGATCATTAGCTTGCTATTAGTATTGAATTTGTTTCCCAGCAGTTCTGAATTTTCTAATGTTTTCCATTCAGCTTTTCAATAAAGAAATATGGCATTTTTGGAGTTGCAAGAAACTGCATTGTTAGTTAGTTTATTACTGTACTATTTTGCTTTTGTATTGAGATTCAATATTTGAAACTTTGGAGATTCATGATCAAATTATGCTACAAAAAGGAGGAGGAGAAAAAGGTATTGGCTGCATGAAATGGGCTATATTTGATTATATTTTCATTTATGTTATTGTCATATGTATATTGGCGGATCAGTTTAGCACAATTCATAATCATATAGGAAACTTTGTTTTGGTCTAAAGAAGGTCTCGGTTTGGGGTGAGGAGAAGGGATTATAGATGTTGAATTCTAATCTCAAACTCGCTGAACGCCACCTCTTAAGGGTGGCTATATGAATCCATTGATTAAGGTCCCAATTCTTATCATGTAGGAAACTTTTATTTGGTATCTTCAAAACAAGTAGTGCTTGTGTATTTGGGTGGTTAGTTTCTTGTTAACATCTGTGAACTAATTAACTAATTCTTTCTGGTAAACATGCAATATGAACTCACGCTTTTAGATTTGCATTTGAAGTTTACGTGTAGTAAATGATACAGTGAACTCTTTTGGATCCAATAGGGAATGTGAAAAAGATCCGGAAGCCAAAACCTTGGAAACATCCTCAGCTGATAACGAAGTCTCAACTTGTGCAGATGCGTGAAGAGTTCTGGGACACTGCACCTCATTATGGTGGAAGGGAAGGTAATTGCTACCTATAACATATAACCGCTAATGACTCTGTTACTAGAAATCAACTGTTAGGTTCTATGCATAAGATTATGAGTATCTATCCATGATTATCAATTTTATAGGTGAGAAGAAATTTTGTTGATCTTGAGTTGACCAAATAGAGAAAACTTGTCATTTTTACTTAATGAGTAAACTCAGAAAATACTGAAGCACTGAGTGAATGATTCTTATAAGGCAACTAACCCACCAATATGCTGAGCTAGTCATGTTTGGATATGTTTTTATGGAAAACTGAATCAGACTGAATTGATCTACTTCCTTTCAAGTTGGTTCTGAAATCAGACCCTGGATTTTAAATATGAAATTATAACTTATATACTTGGATTCATGCAATCATGTGTATTCTTGTACATCCATTAAGCCCCTTGTCCCCCATATGTAACGTTAAGAGCTTAGATTATCTGAAATATTACTTAAGAATGCATGGGAATCAACTAAAACTGAAAAGTATAAACTGCGTAGGCCAACTCTTTTACTAATCGGGCTACTTTCAATTTTTATATCCCAGAAGGAAAATAAAAGGAAAACTGAGACAAAGAAGTTAATGAACAGCTGAAAATCTTGTAATTTTGGAAATTTAGACCAATCTTGGAACACAAATCAGTCCATTAAAACATGAATTCTGAGAGGGTTTAACTATACGTTAAAGATAACTTGTTTTAGTGTTGATTGATGAAAGTAGAGTTATTAATGGGAACTAAAGGTCTCATTAGAATGTTCTCCACGTATGTGATTGTCAAACTAAACATTGATATTTAGGAGATTCTGATAGCAGCGTCAATTCACTTCCCAGTTAAATACACAGGCAGAGTAAGTTGTACCAAGTGAAAGATGACGTAGTTTATAACTCTTATGTCACATGTGTTCCAGGAAAACCGACTTTTTAGTTACACTCACTTTAATCAAAATCAGGTCTTACTGAAAGCTTACAGTGATTTTTTAAAATCATTAGACTAAGTACAAACTCTCAGTACTTGGTGACAGCAATTGAGATTCTAATTATTGACTATGATTGCAAGATGGATGAATGTCTTCCAAGGTAGGCAAATACATAAGTAGGATATGATTTTGAAAGAAATCAAAGAAAAGAATCGGAGAAACTAAGGGGAGAGTTTTAATAGAAATGGAGAAGAACAGAGAACCAAGGAAGAAACTTCAAACAATAAAATGATTTTAAAAAGAATCAGGAATAAATAACACATGCTGTATCTCTTCAATTTCTTTTCTCAACAAGAAATCTGGTTTCTTTGCTAAAATGCTATGTAGTTTTACTGTAGAATTGAAACACTAGAAGTATATGATTGAAAGTGAATTGAACAGGTATGGTTTTCTTAATAGCCTACTTTTAGTAGAGCAATTTTACTTTTAATCTGTATGATGTAATTAATTTGCTTTTACTTCTCATGGATCTGGATTGTAAATGTCAACTTCGTTGACGCTAGAGATCTGGGATGCACTTCGAGCTGCTGCCGAAGCTGATTTAACCCTTGCTCAAGCTATTGTGGACAGTGCAGGGGTCATAGTGCAATCTGCTGATTTAACTGTCTGCTACGATGAAAGAGGTAAATTTACTCTTTTGACTCGAACTTTGATAAATTATAACCAACTTGAAAATAATTAACTTAGCAAACGTCACATTTTCCAGCTTGAAATTTCTTCTAACTTTATCAACTCTTTTTTACAGGTGCCAAGTATGAACTACCAAAGTATGTTTTGAGTGAGCCAACCAACTTGATCCGAGAGAGTTGAAAATAGAGAGAATACAGAATGCAATGCATGCAAGGGTTGAATGTAAATCATGTACATTCATCTTCTTTGAAACGCTTTATAAACATTAGGGCCGCTCATTTATGTTCTGTTTTAACTTGTGTTTACTTTTGATGTTCACTAGGTTGCTGTAAGTTTCTCTGATGAAAATGATAACATTGGTTTGAATCAAGAAAGAGGTAACAGTTTTCCTCTGGGCATGGATATGCAAAGGTTGCTTATTAGGCTCTTAATGTAGAGATGGTTGTTGTTTGACCCTTGTCTGAACTTGAAGACTATGTATAACATTTTAACAAAACGAATTAAGTATACCGAGTTGAATCAACAGGGTGTGCAATGGCTTAATATCTCTAATTTAGAAACATCGGTTGAGCTCTTGGGGTGCAGATTCCAAACTGTGCACTGTCTGATCATCTGGCTGGTTTTATTGAGGATTTTTGGTATGAAATTCAAATTTTGTTCAATGAAATAGTACAATAAAGGAATAACTAGCCGGGCCTAGCAACCTGTACAACCAAACAGAATGGTCACTAGCGGGAAGATGGGAATAGAAACCGAGCAGTTACAGCCAATTTTCAAGAAAAGATGTATTTGCTTAGACAAGCAATTTGTGGCAAAAGGAAACAGACATGATAAGCAATTGTGAAAATACAATTCTTGCTACAAGGCAAAAAATGAGAATTAGCAAAATTAAACAGAAAACAGCATAACTAGTAGAAAGAGAAAAAATTCCCCTGAAATATCAGAGCCAGGTTTCGATCCTGGGACCTGTGGGTTATGGGCCCACCACGCTTCCGCTGCGCCACTCTGATATGTTGGTATGTTGTTGAAACTAATATTATTTAATTATATAAATTGACATCATTCTCATTTTTTTTGTTCAGTAACACTATTTAAAAAACATTTATATCAATCCCAATGTTTATATTAAAAAATAATTTATATTTTTAACTGTTTTAATCATTATAATTTTTTATTTAAACTTTTTTAATATATATCTTTTTAACTCCTATGAATGAACCTCAGGAAAAAAAATATCTGTTCATAGTATAATTTATGGTTAATCTTTTTTATATAATATTTAATTTTTATTTGTAGCTTTATATTTTAATCTTGCTCATTTGTAAAATTTTGAATTTGTTCTATAAACAATAACTTGTACTATTAGATTGAAATACTGAAAAATTACATCACGAACTTGTAAATATGTACTTAAATAGATTTAAGTAAATATTTAACATAAATAGATAACAGGCATGAATACACATTTTTCAGCCATGAAAAAAAAAACACTTTTAACAATGCTATATATTTTCACTTCTACCTATGTTAGAATGTAGAATGCATTGTCCTATTTGAATTGAACATTGAACTCCTATAATACAACCATGTTTGCAGAGCATGATTGAACAAAAGATGTTGACCTTCACCAGCACTTACTTGACCAGTCTCCTTCAGTTTTACAGCGTAATGGACACGAACCTGATACCAAGAAAAGATGTTAACATAAACAAAGCTCAAATAGCTTGATAAATAATTATCAAAGATATTGTTTGGAAATAAATCTCATGTTTATTTTAGTTAAATTAACAACAACCTCTTCATCGTTTCCGTTTAATATCATCTAGAAACTTCACTTTGATCTTCTTTAGCTTTATCACAATCTCTTTCATATCATTCCTCTCATCTGGTACTTCTGCTGAACATTCTAAGCCGACTTGCAAAATGAACAAGGCACAGTTGTTGATTGCTGAACGTTCCCCCCTCATTAGTGCTAAGCAGATTCATGTCTACAACTTGAATTAGCGGATTTGATATCGACTCTTTCACCCAACTCTTCAAGCTTCTTTCTCCTGCAAACATTTCATCTGTGGGTTTTTTTCTCGTGACGGTTTCCATCAAAAGAATACCAAAACTATACACGTCGCCTTTTGTCGAAACAATTCCATCTATTCCATACTCTGTGTATGAATGCATAAGAACATCATCATTATTGAATGATCATGATAGTGAAAAACAAATTCAATAAATAAACTAGCATTATAAAGGGAAAAAATGAAACTTGGGGTTTAATTAGAAATAATATCACCTGGTGCCATATACCCAATTGTCGCCATTGTCATGGTTTGATTCATCGAGTCCTCGTTGCATAAGAGTTTTGCAATTCCAAAATCACTCAAACGTGCAACCATATCTTCATCTAACAGAACATTGCTGGTTTTCAAATCACAATGAACAATGGGTGTTTCATTACCATGATGAAGATATTACAGAGCGGATGCAATATGTATCAGTATGTTCAACCTTTGTAGGATGTCCAGAGAATGGTTATCGGAATACAACCATTTATCAAGACTCCCATTAGGCATGAACTCAAGCACTAAGGCTTTGAAATCAAAATCATTAGAGCAGCTACTAATGATTTTGATTAAATTCCGGTGACGAATATTGCGGAGAACTTCACATTCAACATCGAAGCTCTTAAAAGCTCCTTCTAACTTATTGTCCTCAAGAGAAAGACCCTGCAACTCTTTTAATCTTCCGATTGTGGGGGGAATGGATCCCGCCAATTTATTGTTGGCTAGCTCGACCCTTATCAAGCTACTTAAGTTACCAAGTTCACTCGGGATCCTACCACTAATGTTGCACCGAAAACCATAGAAGATCTGAAGAGAACCTGAGAGATTCCCTAACAAACCTGGAAGTTCACCACTAATCAATGGGTTGTGGCCGAATTTCAACTTCTCTAAGCCTCTGCAGTTTGTCAAAGAAGAGAGAAATCTCATTTCCAAGGAAATCAAATTATTTTCCTCCAGGTTGAGTGACCTTAAATTTCGTAGATTCCCAAGATCATTAGGAATGGACCCCGAAAAGTAATTACTTGACATTTCAAGCAAAGTGAGCTTGGAGGCATTACCTTGGAAGTGATTATGATCAATAGCTAAGCATTGAAGCTTACTCAAATTGCCAATTTCTCCTTGTAGCTTCCCCTCCAATTGGTTATACGATATGGATAAAACTTGCAACTCTCTGCCCTTGAATAAATTAGCTGGAATTCCACCAGAAAGCCTGTTAACACTCAAGAACAGGATTTTCAAATTTGGAAGATGATCAAACATTTCCTTTGGAATATGACCGGTGAGATTATTGAAGGAGAAATCTATATATTTTAGCGAAGGTAAATCGCGTGAAACAGAGGGTATGGAACCAGTGAGCATGTTATTGTATAGAAAAAACACCTGCAACGAAGATATATTGAAGATGGAGGAGGGTATTGAACCTATAATCTGGTAGCTCAACTTCTCTGGCTTTGACAAATTGCCTAAAGAGAATGGGATAACACCTTGGAAGCTGTTTTGGTACAAAATCAGCGTTCGAAGTTGAGTTAAAGATCCCAACCACGATGGGATTTCTCCACTGAAGCTGTGTTACCAAAGACTAAATGTTTCAGCCGGTGCAAATTGGATAACTGGACAGGTAATGTGCCATGGAAACTATTATTCCTGATGGAAAAAAGAGAAAGGAATGATAAATTCCCTAATAAGTGGGGAGGAAGGGTGCCAACGAGTCCCAACCCGGTGAGGTCCAGAGCTGTGACTCTGCGGTGCTTGGATCCGCAACTGACACCGAACCAATTGCAAACAGGGGTGGAGACTGACCAATTAGTTGCTAATACATTTTCAGGGTCGTGACTGATATGGTTTTTCAATTCAAGAAGTGCTGATTGGTCTGTAACTATGGTGGTTGATTTCAGAGAGAAAGTAGTCATAGAAGAATGGAAGATGATGAGAAGAACTAAGTTGAGAAAAGTGATGGCCATTTGATTTTGTGAAGCTAACAAAAAAGGCACAATTGAGTTTGGTAGATAGATAATGCATTCTTTATATACACTAGAAAGATGACTAGGCGACAGAACAGGGACGCGTAAAACAGGCAAAACATAAATTCAAGATGGAAGGGTGCAGTGGTGAGAAAGACCAAGAAAAAGTATCACACCATCACCTAATTATTTCCAAAGCTAAACCCTGCTACGGGTAATGCAGCAAACAAATCTGTCTTTTTCTTTCATTTTGATGATATCTAATGAGTGGATCAAATTAAGTCAATTGCACCTCCAAAACGGGACGTGTAAATCCATAGATTCCGACTTTACATTGGTTTGAACCAAGAAAGGGGTCACAGTTTTCCTTTGGGCATGGATAGGCAAAGGTTGTTTATTAGGCTTTTAATGTAGAAATGGTTGTTGTTTGACCCTCGTCCGAACTTGGAAGACTATGTATAACATTTTAATAAAACGAATCAAGTATACCAAATTGAATCAACAGAGTGTGTGTAGTTTAGGAACATCATTAGAGCTCTTGAGGTGCAGATTCCAAACTTTGCACTCTCTGATCATTTGGCTCGTTTACTGAGGACTTAATTTAAAGTTTGTTCAATTAAAAAGTAAAGTGTTGAAGGAAAAAGGAAAAATGAAAGTTAGTAAAGAATGAAGCCAACTTACTCAACATATCAGAGCTAAGTTTCGATCCTAGAACATGTGGGTAATGAGCCCACCACGCTTCTGCTGCACTACTCTGATTTGGCAATATTTATTGAAAATAAAAATATAAGTTGAATGAATTAAGAATAAACATTGGGAATGGACCAACAAGGTGATTCATATCAAGATATAATCCTTCTAGGTTTGGAAGCCAAAGGCCCATGGAAGATGGCCAGAGAGATGATTTGATGCCAAAGGAAAAAATCCCCAGAGTTGAAATATTAATTACTTGTGGAGGAATATTACCAACAATATTGTTAAATTCTAAATTCAACTTCTTGCTATATGGGAATATAAACCTGGTCATTCATGTTTTTATTTTTAATATATCTGGTCATTCATGTGAAAGTCTGTATTTGGGAAATTGTTCTTCATTGCTTGTCTAGCTATATGCTGTCAACTTCTTGTTTATTTCTGTTTTCCCTTATCATTAAATGCTGAGATAATATAAGCACCATTAGTGGACTAAGCACACCGACACATGACACAATTAGAATTGCAAATTATGCTTTTCAAAACTGAAGGATAAAATGGGACTTTTTCCTTTGTATTTTTGTTTATAGTGACAATTGTGAGTGTTTATTGATCTTCTTGAAACTTCACAGGATGAGGTTACTAGTGCTGGTGCTCAAGTGGAGCCGCCTGGAATGCACATGATATACCTTCCATACTCTGATGACATCAGAGATGAGGAAGAGTCAAGTAAATATCATGAGTTTATGCTAAAGATTTCATGTTACCACTGATTGAATTGGGGATGTTTCACAGATTTTTCCAGATACAGAAGATGATACACCTCGAGCTGATGACGATCAAATTCAAAAGGCTGCTGCTTTACAGATTTTTCACTGATTTCTGTTTCAACATGATTGAAGTTGTGAATACACGACAGTTACTCTGGAGTTGTATCATGGAACTGCAATTTGCTTACCACTCTGAATATAAATACATATACGGACAAAGTTAAATCATGAATTGACAAAATTTCAATTGATTTCTTTTTCTTCTGCACGTGCAAGTTTGTATAGTTACCGCTTGTCAGATAGTATTGGGTAAATTTAAGGTTTGATAGTAATAAAATTTCAGTCAAATTTTATTTTATTTTTCTGTTGAAGTGGACAACCAAGTTGCTGATCTTGTTCTTGTGTTACACTTTGCTGATTTGGTCACTATTTCATGATGACATTATGCAGTATTGCAGGCTCTAGCTTTAGAAGAAGACGACATTCCTGAGACCATTGATGAGACGGCACCCGATGAGGAAGGTTTAGCTTGGTAATAAGGATTTGGCTTGTATTCTCAAATTCTTTCATCCCGTTCTGGTCTTTGATAAAATCTTTCGGCCTACCGACTGGCATTGTGATAATATCTCAGAAGAAAAATAATTTCCCTTTTTGAGAATATAGATTTTCTAGCAGTCATAATCTTATGGTTATCATACTCGTTATTCTCATTTGGTAGTTGAACATTTGACAGCAGCAGCTTTGAAAATTTATTTAATGCACACAACCTTCCTGTTAATGGGAAGAAGGAAGCTTTGATCAGCAGGATCTTAACCCACATGGGCAATAAAAACTCGAAGACTAGTATCAGATAAGCCACAACTCCCTCTAATCGTTGTTACAGTATGTATGCTTCCTTTTGTAATGCTAAAAACTAGCTTGGCATTTGCATGATGAACCGTATTTGTCAATGCTAAATATATCTTCTTGCATAGACGCCAAAGCTTTATGCACAGCGCACACATTAGGTTTCTAGAACTAAAAATTTGGCTTCGTATGATGCTATTTTTAAGATCAAGGAAAAAAGAGTTTATTGTCATTACAATGTATGAACATCAACCAGTATCGATCATCCATTTGTGCATATTTGGCAAAGATTTTTGCAAACTAAACCAGAAGAAATCGGAAAACAAAAATGATTTTGAGCACAAATGCACAGACTAAGGGAAAGGAAAGAAAGAACCCCATACTTTTTCCTTCGTACAGTAGTCATCTCTATCCGCGTCACATTCAGCCCGAAGAGAGGTAATAAATTCAAAAGTTTAATATTCATTTTGTAATTTTTGAAAGTTCAGTATCCAGAAAAATCATTTTGGGATAGTTTAGTGACTATTTTGAACTTTCCCTTTGATAAATAAGTATCAATGGCAAATTTGTAAATTGCAAAGATACCAAGGGCAATGATATATAATCAGTGCAGTTTTAGCTGACCACCTCGCAAATCCGTGTTAATTTCCAAGCGCTACCATTTCAAGCTTCCTAGAAAAAAACATCTTCCGTTTTTCCTCCCGGGTTTCCAACATTAGCAACCCGAAAAACATTTGCAGTTTCCCGGTCTGTTTGCGGTCCACCCGTTAATCCGCCGATCGGAATCCACTTCCATCTAGATCTCAATCAAATCTGCTTCTACACTTCCCCATCAATTCACCCGTCAGTAAACGCCGGCGTTTTGTATCTCCGGCCGTCGATCTGCAATTTCGAAAACTAAAGATCCTTCTCCGATCACTTTCATTTGAAAGGCCGTCGTTGCAGCAGAAAATCATCGTTTTTAATTCACCTTTTTCTTGACTCATCATACACAGGATTCCTATTGTTTTCTTTGATCTTTTGATTAATTTTAATCAAATTATATTATTCGTTTTTCCTTTTTAACCAGAAATTAATTTTTTCTGGACATTTTCGATACATATAGATCTATTTTCTTTCCTTTGATTTGAAATAACGTCGGGTACGAGGCTACCGACATGGAAAGAAAGAGAGAATAACAAGCGGAAGAGCGACGGAGAAGGCAATAGCAGCGAAGATCTTCGCCGGACTCCGGATGTACGGTAACTATAAGCTTCCAAAGCACTGCGATACAATGAAGTTCTCAAAGCTCTTTGTAACGAGGCCGGTTGGACTGTCGAACCCGATGGCAACTACTTATCGTAAGGTAAGTACTATCATCACCCTTAACTTTTATTTTATTTTATTTTTTTAATCTGAGTAGGAAACAGATGAAGATAATGTGATTGAACGGTTATATCTGTTTGAAATGTAAAATTCGCTAAAAACTTGCATTATTAGTAGTTTTTTGAACTTCAAATTGCTTTTTTATTTTGTGTGTAAATCTTGAATATCGAAGCAATAGAAAATTTTCTATTCGGCATTTCCGGCATAATAACACGACGGATTGGAATTTTACCGTTTTAATTGATTTTTTCTGGCGTGTTTTAGCACGAAACTCTTAGTTTCTGGTGGAGGAGTAATAATGAACTTAATAATCACAAAGAAAGGAAAATCAAATAAAACTGCGGCTATGTGCTAATTTGTGTCGCCTTGCATATATATATATATATATATATATATTATATATATATCTGAGAAGACCTAACTACCCTTGTTAAATTTTGATTGTGAGGGTAGTTTCTGCACCATATGAACTTACAGTGAGGGTCGAAATTTTGCTAAGTAACAAAGAGTCCTTTTGCAGGGATTTTGCACAGATTCCCACTTTGAGATAGCTTTCATTTTCAGTTGCTCATATAATCATATGGGGTTTTTGGACTTGGAAATTCCTTTTTTTTGGTTATAATTGTGTTTAAGGTGTCATATAGTTAGAGATATATTATGCCTTAAATCCTTAATAATCATGTTATATAGATTTTGGTGCATTTTATGTTTCAAATGTTTTTTGTTGTTTGACTGTATTTGTAAATAGCAACACCTTGAACAGTTTTGGTGTTCTTAGTTTGGTTACTAGTTTAATTAGTAAGGCCTACTATTGCATAGAACTTCGAATCAGATGGACTATATCTTAGACTGTAGCTTAAAGGAGAATGGAGGTTTTTATCATGATAAAACAGTTGACGGTTTTTACTCCTAAGAAAATTGAGGATAAATTTGTTAAATATTTATAAAAACCATGCCCTTTTTCATAGCACCGAATATGAGTTTTTCAGGGAAATATTGAGTCTGGCATGTGAAATAATTGGAGTAACAATGTCAATGAGTTATGAGTAATTTGTCACTAAAATATATATGACAAATTAATAAGCTCAAATCAATTGATGGTATTCATAGATGAAATGATTTAAGATGGAAAGTAAGATTATTATGATGGAAAAGAATAATGGAGTGAATATAATGATGCCCACTGTGGCGGAATGACATTATAAGAAGTAAGAAACTCAATTTATGTTTAATAAAATACTGGAATGAGTTTTGGTTTTCCGATCCGAGGTGCTATTTGTTTAAACTTTCTTATTTCCAAAGTTGAGCATACTTTGCAGTAATTGTATTTGATCTGTTGCATGTGCTTTTCGGGCACTGATAAAATATTTAATTTCTGCAGGGTTGCAAGCCTGTGGAACGCATTGATATAGTAGGTGGATCTGGAGCAGTGAGCCCCAGCTCATCTTACCACCCAAGCCCTGCGTCATCATCCTTTCCAAGCCCAGCTTCTTCTTATGTGGTTAATCCCAATGGTGATGTGAATTCTCTTTTCCCATGGCTCAAAAACCTCTCATCAGCATCCTCTTCTGAGCGTCCCTATAGCCATATTCATGGAGGTTCCATTAGTGCACCTGTCACCCCTCCATTGAGCTCACCAACTTCTCGAACCCCACGAATCAAACATGACTGGGAGGAGCAGTCTACCCATCCGGGTTGGAGTGCACAACAGCAATCTTTCCTGCCTTCTTCAATTCCCCCTAGCCCTGGTTGTCAGATTGTTCCTGACCCAGAATGGTTTGATGGGCTCCGAACCCCTCATAGCCGGCCAACCTCTCCCACATTCAGTCTTGTCTCCTCAAATCCCTTTGGCTTCAAGGAGGAAGTTTAGCATGTGGGGGATCCCGCATGTGGACTCCTGGTCAAAGCGGGACATGCTCTCCCGCTATGGCTGCAGGATTAGATCAAACAGCCGATGTTCCAATGTCTGAAACTATTTTGGATGAGTTTGCATTTGGAAGCAATAGAACAGGGATTGTGAAACCATGGGAAGGGGAGAGCATCCATGAAGAATGCGGATCAGATGATCTAGAACTCACTCTTGGCAGTTCCAAGACTAGGTGAGTTTCCAAACTTATTGAATAGATTAGCTAAAATTGTTTTAGTTTTCATTAATTTTTGAAAATTTAACTCTGAATTATATAGTTTGTTCTCAAGGCACCGAGGTAGTTCCATAATTTTCCTGATAAGTAAGAAGAATTATACTTGTATGATTGTTTTCTTGGTCCTTATTTAGGTTTGCCATTAGAAGAAATGCCTTAATGACAGTTTCTTAATGGCCAATCCTTTTGCGAGAATTAGGTTATCATTTTCTAATTTCTATTGTACATTACAAACTTTGACATTTTCATTTGAGTTAATTGCATCACATGTCCTCAAAGTATGCCTCTCATTTTAAATTGGTCCCCAAACTTTTAAATGTTCCAATTTCATCCCTAAACTATGATTATCATTCTAGAGTAGTCCTCAAACTTTTAAACATTTCAATTTCATCCCTAAACTATGACTTTCATTCTAAATTAGTCCCTAAACTTTTTAATATTTTAATTTTATCCCAAACTATATGTATATACTAATCACATCTCTTGTAAATAAAATTTTTAGTCCAAGTTATATTACTATATGTTCAAAATAACGAAACTTAAGTTAAACTATGATTGAAATTAATTATATATTTATATGAATTTGGGGAAAAATTGGAATATTCAAATTTGGAGACTAATATAGAAAGAGGGTCATAGTTTGGGGCTATGGCATCAAAGTTCGGAACATCATCAACCTACAAAGGAGTAGGGGTGTAAACGAACCAGACTTGAACGGATAATATTGTTTCTTTATCTTTTAAGGTATTCATATTTGATTTATGTTCGTTTAAAATTTTAATATCATGTTCGTATTTGTTCATTTACTTTTGAATGTGTTCGTATTCAATTCGTTTAACGCTCGCAAACATGTTTGTCAACATGTTCATTTAGCGTTCACAGTTTGTTTGTATGTTTAGAAAAATTGTAAAATTATACCAATAGTCTTTAATTTCCTTAGGCTTCACAATTTAAACTTTAAAGTTCACATTGTGTTCAATTTAATCTATACATTCACTAAAATTTAAAACAAAAAAAGGAAAATAAAAATGAGAATCGAGTAAATGAGTCAATAAATGAACTTTCAAATGAGCCAATACATGAACTTACAAACGAATTTGTTTTGAACATTAATGAACCGAGTGCATCTTCGATAAACATAAAATTTTTGCTCACACTCCTTTATTTAACTTAATAAATAACACTATATAAACATTTTATCAAATGTTTTATTCATTTACATTCCTATAGAAATGTCTTCTTCCCAAAACTCGATATTGGAACATCCCTTAATACATCAATATTAAATCAATATAATAATCTTTAATCAATAGTTAAATTAAATTAATTAAATAAAAAATGGTTCATCTAACCGGTCCAATCACAGATGGGATTATTACGAGTTTACAACATTACTTCCGAATCACATACAGGAACCGTGACATCAGAGTAGGCCCCCAATACAAATTAATCGTTTAACTGGAAAACAAAACTCTATCCCGATAGGCAATAGCCAAACGCATCCATCAATGTGGAAGAAAACCAAAGGCAAACCAAAAATATAATCTAAGCCCTCCTTCTCCGACATTTTATTCTCCCCAGCTTCAAATTAAGCACACAAAAAAAAACTCTTTACCTTCTTCTTAAAGCCTGATTGTTTTTCTTGGTCCTTATTTAGGTTTGCCATTAGAAGAAATGCCTTAATGACAGTTTCTTAATGGCCAATCCTTTTGCGAGAATTAGGTTATCATTTTCTAATTTCTATTGTACATTACAAACTTTGACATTTTCATTTGAGTTAATTGCATCACATGTCCTCAAAGTATGCCTCTCATTTTAAATTGGTCCCCAAACTTTTAAATGTTCCAATTTCATCCCTAAACTATGATTATCATTCTAGAGTAGTCCTCAAACTTTTAAACATTTCAATTTCATCCCTAAACTATGACTTTCATTCTAAATTAGTCCCTAAACTTTTTAATATTTTAATTTTATCCCAAACTATATGTATATACTAATCACATCTCTTGTAAATAAAATTTTTAGTCCAAGTTATATTACTATATGTTCAAAATAACGAAACTTAAGTTAAACTATGATTGAAATTAATTATATATTTATATGAATTTGGGGAAAAATTGGAATATTCAAAAGTTTGGAGACTAATATAGAAAGAGGGTCATAGTTTGGGGCTATGGCATCAAAGTTCGGAACATCATCAACCTACAAAGGAGTAGGGGTGTAAACGAACCAGACTTGAACGGATAATATTGTTTCTTTATCTTTTAAGGTATTCATATTTGATTTATGTTCGTTTAAAATTTTAATATCATGTTCGTATTTGTTCATTTACTTTTGAATGTGTTCGTATTCAATTCGTTTAACGCTCGCAAACATGTTTGTCAACATGTTCATTTAGCGTTCACAGTTTGTTTGTATGTTTAGAAAAATTGTAAAATTATACCAAGGGAACACGATCGGCGAGTCGGGGCTGATTTTAGTGCCGGCTTGAATGGGTTAGTGCAGCAGTTCTTCAGGAGTTTGCCCATCCCCTTTCGTGCCGAGGAGAGGACAGTTTTGCCGGTTAGAGGTGATATGATTTTAAAACGGCAGAAGGCTGATGTGGGTGGCAATGATATGGAGGGTTGGGTGGGATTTTCAGATCAATCGAAGGATTTTGGGTTCGTGGAAAAGGAGAGTGGTTCGGAAGGACTGGAGGATGAAGAGGTTTCAGGGTTTAATTTGAAGTCTGCTGGATTACTTGGGAGACCTCAGGTAAACAAAGAAGTAAAATAAGAATCTTTGAGGATGGTTAGGAGCTTGAATTATCGATTTGATTTGTGTTAAATACTTGAAGAATTACCATGTTCAATTTGAAATGTTATAAGTGGCAAGGCTTGAGAGTTGGAAAAGGGAATTTGTCTAATTGATGCATAGGCTAATGTGTTATTCGGCTTTTTTCTTTGCAATCAAAAGGTTTAGAACTGATAGTAGATTAGTATTTAGGTAGCATTGCACCCTTGCTTGTGAAATATAACAGGCATCTGTTTTTTAGTTTTGGACACACCATTACTTATTTATAAGAAAAGCAAGAACAACTAGAATGGGGTATGTGGCTATATGTGAATTGTGATAGTTCTTTTTCAAGTTCTAAGCTAGCAGTAAATACTTTATAAAGACATATTTGACGCAATGTTAGCTATGATAAGTTATGAATATTTCCCCCTTCATTTGAATAGAAACGATGGGATAGAAGCAGGTCATCTGTTTGTTAGTTTTGTCCTCCTTTTTACTTGAATGTGAAAATTATTTTTGGTTTTGACTAGCTATACTGTTAAACTGTTAATGACTAACTCATTTCCCTATGGTTAATCTTTTGTTGGCAGCAGGGGATGATAAATATTACCTCGACATATGAGAGTAGAACACGAAATTTAGAAAGTTCTCTGGTTGCAAGGGGAGACCTATGGAGAGTAGAGGCGTCAAATGGCAGTTCCACATCAGGGAGTGACAACTCTTGGTTTCTTCTTCAGCTTGGACCAGTACTCTTCGTTAGGGACACAACACTTCTTTTACCAATTCATCTATCAAAGCAACATTTGCTTTGGTATGGCTATGATAGGAAGGTATGACAATAATTTCATGGACTAATTGTTGCTAGCTGTAAGATCTACATATAGGAAATAGGAGTACCAAGAAATTTGCATTTATGTTCTATGAAACTTAATTCTGCAAGGCCCTATGGAACAAAACAGTTGAGAGTTATGCTTAATGTGGTAATACTAATAAGTTTATATGGATTTTTGTCCAAGGATATATCGTTTGGTATTTAGCCTTATGTTTAGAATTATTATTGAATTAAGCAAATATAAGATAAAACTATTTCAACTGTCTACCTTTTCTCCCTTATCCTTGTGTTACAATAACTAATATACATGGCATATCTACGATCTACAGCTATTGTAGTTGGCTTTTACAAAATGTTATAAGGCTCTTGTATGATTATAATAGAAGAGAATAGTTCTCATCTCGAATATAAAGATGCTAAGGGAAGTTAATATAAAATTCCTAGGAATCTGCACATGGAATATATTTTGATCTGAAATGATCTAGGACCTTGCTTAAGTTGGAATAAAGAACTTTAAGGTTAAGTTTGATAATGATGAAATTCTATTCTTATTGTTTATTTTGTTTTATCACCTCCCAGTTTTAAGTGTTCAGGTCATATAGGCGACTTCATACATCGTTAATTCTTGCTGATAAGATGCACTTAATCATTTTACATGGTCGTGTGAATTTTGAAACCTGGAAGTAGTTTGTATGGTTTGAGCATTATGTTCTTATGTTTCTCAAATTGTTTTATTTCGTTCTATGCTGATAATTTCTTGGTTGCAGAATGGAATGCATTCTCTTTGTCCAGCAATATGGTCAAAGCATAGGAGATGGCTATTAATGTCAATGCTCTATCTTAAGCCTTTAGCCTGTGTAAGTTGATGGTGATTTTGAATCCGTTTGTACAGTGTTTATGCTTTTGTTTCAACACACTGAATTTCCAAAATACCTGTGTTTTATCTGGTTTTGTTGCAATTAGATTGTTGATTCAATTTGCATTTGGCTCAAGAAATATCCATGTAAATATTGATTCTGTTAGTTAGGAGTGGTTACCTTATTGAAAACAAAATATTGATTTGCTGGATGTCTATTGAAGATGACAATTTACCGAAACTGGTGGAGCAATTTAATTTCTCTATCTGACTCTTCTTGCACACTAAAGACCTCTAAAATTTTTAAGCAGCCTTCATAGGATAGGAATTAGAGAACTGCGCTGATTAGATGAGATAAACATTAGTACTTTAGCTTTTGTTAGTAAATATTTGAGAAAGTTTTTTGTTGATTTTCTTACATAACCACTCTCTTCTTTGTCAACTCTACCTTCTTTACGCAGTCATTTGTAGATTTGCAATTTCCAAATGGACAGTTCACGTATGTATCTGGGGAGGGGTTAACAACAAGTGCTTTCCTACCTCTTTGTGGGGGACTTCTTCAGGCACAGGGTCAATATCCAGGAGAAATGAGATATAGCTTCTCCTGCAAGGTCAGTTCCTGATCTTTTACCGGCATAACAGGGGGCAAAGAAGTAATTAGGATTTTGTTAAACGACTCCTCTCGGATTTATTATTCTGTTCTGGGTACATTTTCTGAGTTCTGAATTTATTGTGTCAATATTTCGTCAGAATAAGTGGGGAACTCATATTACACCGATGGTGCAATTGCCAGACAAATCATTTACGCTGGGTCTTTCACAAGCCTTGGCTTGGAAGCAATCGGGGCTCATGATGAGACCATCCATTCAATTTAGGTGAGATTCTTCTACTTATAAGTCATGTTAAGGAATATTTCTTATGTTTCATACACTTCCTTTGAAACGTTTCATTAGACCTCATACTTGCATATTGGAGATTGAGCCAAGTCACTTGTTCAACTGAATGTACACTCTTTAAGTTTTTAACATGATTTAAGGATCATAAGTTAAAAGTTCCAAAATAATTACTTTAAAATACTCGAATTCTTTTCCTTTTTTAGAAAAATAAAATTATCTGCAAGTTATTTCTTGAATTGTCTGAGAAAAGCAAAGTGATGTGAGATTTTGCCGTTTTCCTGCAAATAGAAATTAGAAGGATCACACCTGCGAGAGAAACTATTTGTTGCTTTGTTGTATTATGTTACTTTTGTATAGTGTTTGTTCTTTCTATATGTTGGTTTTTCTTATTTCCAGGTTTCACTTTACGTACATGTTTGTTCTGTGTACTATTTGGTAGTTGTTTATTTATATTATTTGCATTTTCCATTTGCATCCTGCATGGTGTTAACTAGTCAGTCTCTACACTTGTGATCAGTTTGTTTCCAACGATTGGTGGAAGTAATCCGGGTTTGCGGACCGAAGTTATGCACACGGTGAAGGAGGATCTCAATCTGATTTGTGGTTTTGCTCTTACGGCACATCCTTCTGCGTTTGCATCAATATCAGTAAGTTATCCCATTGCAAAATCTTCTTTAAAGCTCAATTCATATGTTTCCTCTGTTTGTTGGATTTGCAAATTTGTGAAACTGTGATTCTACAACATATCAGTGCTAGTCAACTTCTAGAATTGTATTCTTTTAATTTTTTTTCTCAAGTATTCTTCTTGAAGGTGGTGCAATTCCAATTAGTTGCACTTACATCGTCATTCTGTCTACCAATCATGCAGTTTGGACGCTCCAAGTGGAATGGAAATGTCGGGAAGTCAGGGATAGTAGTAAGAGTCGACACACCACTTTCCAATGTTGGCCGCCCGTCATTTTCTGTTCAGATAAACAACGTCATTGAGTTCTGATCATTCGGCATCCAAAGCCTGCCATTGAAGTGTATTTAGAGCCCCAGTGAACCTAAAATAAATGATACATGTGAATATCGGAATGCTACTTGTGTTAACTATATTAGATCTCTGATCCAACTTTGGAGATTCATGGTCTTTTCTGTATGGTTTTTTCCAGATTAGCAGGTCAACAAATTTTGGTTTCTGTTTCTGTTTTAGCCTTTCATCTGTTATAGATCTAGATGTACCATATACCTGAACAAAATAATGTAATATGGTTGCTTGACTTGCTTCCTGTTCCTGAAATGAAACATACAATGGTTGTTTGTCATCTACAAATCATATTGCGTCTGTGGTCAGTGTGGTGTGTATGTTTTGGTATGAACATCAGGTGAAATCGGAACAATTAGACATTGAAATACATGTTCTCGACATATCAAAATAAAACGATACATACGGTACTGCAGGATCCGTAAGTGTGGCAGAACATAGCCAGGTCGATCGCCCTCACAGTTACAGTAGCTAGTTTGCAATTTGCATTCACGATTGATCCACCATCTCCATGGTTAAGCTTGACAACAGCAGCGTATATTAAACAAATATTGCAATAAAACTGCTTTGAAAGGTGTGTCACATTGCAGTTTATCCTCACCCTTTTCACCTACAACATTTAATCACTGATGAAGCAATCACAAACGTCCAATAAGATCATAGCATTTTCCTGGTTAGTTAACCAACGAATTGAACCTTTCCAAGCTTTTGGCATCCCAAGGAAATATCAGTTGTAGGCTTGTCATCATCATTCCCTCGTTATAAATTTCAATAATACAGTTGATTCATAGTCCCCCCAAGTCCCTTAGTGAAACCTTTTTACAAGTTATAGCCATGGATGAACAAAGTTTATCCGATATCAGAAATAATGCAAACTCTCAGAGTTTATCTGATGTGTTAAAATGTTGTTTAATCAGGTTTTTGGTAGATGGAGCTGATATGGTGTTGAAAGATGCAAATTTTGGGAAAATGAATCCTGTTGCCGCCTTAATTCTTCTATAGGGGAATGTAGTTTCCATGCAAAAAATGAGAAAACCAATTGCATTGATTCATGGAAACATGAATCTGCCATTGTTGAATTCCTTAAGAACTTCGTTACTTTTCTTCCGGTTCTTATGATCAAACTTGTGGGGTTTCAATTTCCATTATGGTTTTCTTACTTTGTTTTCATGTCTTTGATGTTTCCATTACAAGCTGCGGGGCAAATCAAAGGCTATTTCATGAGAAAACTCTTCAGAATGTTGGATCAAACTAGCAAATCAGTTAAAGCCAAAGCTAAGAACTCAACATGGAATTTGGTATCAAGGATTGGGGTTGCCTTGTTAAGGTCATCCTATGTCTGTTTCATGCTTGTTGGATTGCTGGTGTCAGGGTTTCTTTTGGGGGGTTTCATCATGCAATGCCTGCTGGTGAAACCTATCGAAAAAACACAAACCCTGAATTTCGATTACACAAAACCCAGTCCAATCGCTTTTGTTCCGTTACTGTCTTCACCTGGTGTAGGAGATCCTTCCAGAACCATTTCAAAGGATGATATGAAGTCCAGCATGGAGATCGGTCCCCGTTTTATCCCGTATAATCATCGGTCGCAGCTCAGTCAGGGTCGGTCCTGACATTTTAAGGGCCCTAGGCAAAATAAGAGATACGGGCCCTTAAAAAATAACTTAAATTTCAAGAATAAATTTCGGTAAATGTCAAACAAATTTTTTCATTAAAAATTATACGAGTATATTCTATTACATTAACCAAAATAAAAACATCAAAAAACATCAAGTAAACAGAGCCTTAGCAAATTGTATCAATCATCCATTCATCCTTTTAAAACATTTAAGTTATAACAAAAGTTTACTACACAGACAAATCATAATTTAAAACCAGAAATATGCCAAAACTTTACTAGACAAATCATAATTTATTTTTTTCCCTTCATTCAAGAGAAATAAGAGAATACCAAACATTTTCTTTAATTTTTTGAAGCAACACACAAACCAGAGAATCAAGACAATACAAGAGTCTTTATCCATTCGTTTTTTATTTCGAATACAACAATAAAAACAAAAATTTATAAAGCAAAATAGAGTCAAAGAGAAAGGGGAAAGCGTTACTTGTGAGTCATCGGAGCTTCCCATCGAAGTCGGGTTCATCGGAGCTTCCCATCGGCCATCGAAGTTGGGTTCATCGGAGCAAACAGAAACCAAAATTCAGGTCTCGATTTAAGGGCGTTTTGGCCTTATTTATGTGATTTTCAATTTTGATTTGGATTAAGGTAAATAGATCGGAGTGTTTAGGAAAGTTTTAGGCTTTGATGCTGAAGGTAAATAGAGTGGTGGCCGGTGAGATGTTGAAGGTTTTGGAGAAGGCGGATGTGAGTTGCAGAGAGAAATGGGGAGAGTAAAACGACTTTTAGTGCTTATTAAAGAAATGGGGCCACATTTTATAATTAAATGGTAAGAAAAATGGTACAATAACGTTCATGTCCATAGTACTTATTAAATAAATGGGGGGCCTATTTTATAATTGAATTGTAAGAAATTGTACCGTTCATGTCTGCCATAGTGCTTATTAAATAAATGGGGGCCCTATTTTATAATTGAATTGTAAGAAAAATTGTACAATCACGTGAATGCAATTGCCATCAACTTTTAGTGCTTATTAAAGAAATGAGGACCATGTTTTACAAATGCTTTAGAATATTTATATCCATTTCTTTTTACATATCTTCTAGGGTAAAAGATAAAAAAAATCTGAGTTTGTATCTTGTATCGACTTTCAAGAATGGGCCCCCTCCAAGAATGGGCCTTAGGCGGTCGCCCCCCACGCCTGGGCTCAGGGCCGGCCCTGAGCTCAGTGTTCCATTGAAGTGCCTGAATCCGAATAAAACCTGAAACTAGGAGTCTTCCAGGTACGCATGATCACCTTTGTTGCATTTGAAAAACTTTCATAATGATTCTCACCAAGCATAGTTTCAAGTTTGCAGGTGAGGGTTGAGTTCCTATCTGCCAATGGAGAAGTCACTGGTACGTCAAGGTATCCATGTATGCTTCGATTCAAGAGCCAAACTCTCTGTTTCGCAGAAACCGTCATCAACTGCATTCCTCTCATAACAGGTCACTGATCCGAATTCCAAGTCCCGAACATCAAAATGAATGAATTCACCGAAGGACTCGAGCCGACCACATGCTTGATAGTGATACTCGAACAACGAGCAGAATCTCAACCCGGCACAGGCATCCCCGAAGTCTATGCTGCATCCATTGCTCTCGAGTCCGAGCTCCCTCGGTTGAAGCAGATGATTAGGTATTGGAGGTGAACAGTTTTTGTCTGCATCAGTATATGTTGTTCCTTACTGAGTTGGTAACAGTCCTGGTGTTTTGCAGATCGATGATCACCCCTAATGGGATGCCATGTATTGGTTTATTTGGTGAAAAAGTGGTTTCTCAATCAAAACTCATGCTTTGGTCTAAAATAAGACTGTAACATGTAAATTATAGGTTAAATAGTTATAAATATGGTTGAATAAATTTTAATTTAGTTGATTTGTTACAAATTTGATTCCACTTAAATATACAATATCATAGAACTTAAAAAATGATATATAGTAATATAAAGTATAAATATTTTTAAAAATATATAAAACTTGGATTGTGGGAGCATTTTAAAAAAAATCATAAGATTAAATATAATTTTATTATTTATATATATTCATATGAAAATTAATGAATTATACTATTATATCCATAATCAAGTAATAAATTTAGTTTTTTCAACCTCAACAGGAAATTTGTTAAAGAACTGGAAAGCCCAAATTCAAAGAAGGTCTAATATGAAGCCCGCACATCATACAGTTGTTTGAAAATGGAAATTGGTCGTGGGGATTTCGCAGAAACCCAAAATTTTGAGCTGATTTTTTCCCCATCTTTTTTCTTCTTTTGAGGTGATATTTTGTAAGACTACCTTACTGATAGAAACTGCTTAAGTTCTGGGTAAGCTTTTTCCTTATTAATCTTTCCTTCAGCTTAACTTTCTCGAATTTGGGATTCTGGGTTTCTTATTAATCTCGAATTTGTTTTTAATTTCCATTGATTTGGTTCGCTTGAATACATTCAGATAAATTTCCTCTTTGATTTTCTTTCTTAGATTGATAGTTTAGTAAGATAGTCATTTTTGTCTCTTTTTTTTTCCTGAACAAATTGTATTGAGAGAAGAAACTGGTGAAAAAAAAAAATTAAGGTTGTGCTCTATTGGGACTTGGGAGGATGCGAAAGGTTAAAGATTGAAAAAAATCGTATATAAATTGACAAGGTCAATGCTTGTTTTCTTTTCGCTGGTTTCTTATAACTGGTAGGGTTAAATTTTGATGGAGCTGAATGGTGAAAAGCTATCCATTCTCATCGTCACATTGGCCTTATGTTACTCAGACCCTGGTTTGAGTCGACGATATGTATCCGACACAGTTGTGGTTAGAATTTCAAAGTATTTCAATATATTTGGAGGATCCTTGGAGTTTATATCCCATATCCATGTTTCGGACAGGGTTACTTCAAGAAGAACGAAGAGTCCAAGCCACATAGCTGTAGTTTTATATCCAAAAAGAGTGACAGGAGTTCTAGAAATCATTGCATTTCAGGAATTAAGTACATTACATGATCAATTTATTGGAATACATATTGTTCGATGACAGAATATTCTGAATACTTTCTTTAAAAAGAAAGAATTGGTTCTGAAACGATTTTCATAATAACATTTTGTTAAATTATCAATTTTAGTCTTCTTGCATTGTTACCTTTGATTTTCTCCTTACAAAAATTTTCATGTTTTTCCATTTATTTGGTTTGCCTTTATCCCCAGATCAATGCTCCAGACACTATCTACAGCGTCACTGTCATGGAATCCGTCTCAGAGGAGTGAGTCATTCATCTTTCTCTTTTGCTTCCTTTTGGCTTCAGTATGAACAAACTTAACTTAATCATTAATACTGAATCACACCAATGTAATGCAAATAAAACACCACAAAACATATCCAAAAGGAAATATAAGAATGTTCTTTTTTTATTGATATGGCCTCCACTTTGCAGGTGCATATTTAGATATCATGGAACTTCAGGCATCTCAATTATCATCCCGGAATCGGTGCCCTTTTCATTTGAAGGTGAACACTCTTTCTGTCAATTTCTATTTCTTTCTTGGTTTTCTCTATATGTGATTTGAAAGTGAATTTACAGATATTTGTGCAGAAAACAATTTATGCATTTCTTTATTTTGGACGAACACTTTCAAATTCCTTATTTGTTATAATCTCCCACAATCAATTTAACGGCATACAAATTAGTCCTATACATCCAATAGGGACTCTACATTTAGTTGCTTATAACCTGCTGTCTGGTCTATTTTTCCTGTTACATTTGACTTAGCGTTTTACTGATGATAGCCATAGTTGATAGGCACAAGAATTCTTGAGTAAATTAGCTAATTATGTCTGTTTTTGTCCATAATGACAGTATGTAGAGTAATATTTTCTCCCTGATATCATTCTAGCTGCAGTTTGAGAGCAAATGGGTTCAGAAAGGTCTGGCACTTGTTTCAGAAACTTCCCCGTATGCCTGTCAGAGGTCTAGAGACTCTAGAGAGAACCCCGTTGGCAAGAAGCCAAGCGTATATCCCCAAAATGTGGATCTTCCACCAGTACTGCCTACGAAAAAGAAGAAACCTTATCCTATTCCTTTTAAAGAGATCCAAAGAGCTGCGAGGAAGGATAAGAAACTTGCTGAGAGGGGGATCGAGAAGCTACTTGAGCCTCCAGAAAATGGATTACTTGTTCCTGAACTTATTCCTGTCGCACACGAGGTGCTAGATGCATGGAAAGTCTTGATTAAAGGCCTTGCACAGCTTTTGCATGTCATTCCTGTTTATGGTTGCAGGTACATCGTATTATAGTCTTCAGTTGTGGTGTTGCTGTTGCCTCGTTAGAGATCTGAATATTTTGAAACAATTCTTGCATCTTTGAGTATTCATTTAATTTAGCTCTATGCAGTGAGTGCTCTGAAGTTCATGTGGCTTATAGTGGTCATAAAATTCAGGACTGCAAAGGTCCAACTAGCTCAAAACGCCATGGTTTACATGCATGGGTGAAAGGTTCCGTCAATGACATTCTTATTCCCATAGAGTCATATCACCTTTATGATCCTTTTGGCCGGCGCATCAAGCACGAAACACGGTTTGATTATGATAGGATTCCAGCTGTTGTGGAGCTCTGTATCCAAGCTGGTGTCAACATCCCAGAATATCCTTCACGACGAAGAACAAATCCCATCAGGATGATGGGAAAGAAAGTAATCGATCGTGGTGGATACATTGAGGAACCTAAGCCATGGCGCTCAGTGGATCCATCCTCATCCTCAATTGTAGATCTCGACACATGCGGAGCCTATGGGAGATTTCCACCGCCCCGACCTGAAGACGTACCTGTAATTGCTCAGGAAACAATGAATGCACACGAGGTTGTTCGATCAGGTGTAACGAAATTGATGAAGAAGTACACGGTAAAGGCATGTGGATATTGCTCAGAGGTCCATGTAGGGCCATGGGGTCACAACGCCAAACTCTGCGGAGAATTCAAGCACCAGTGGAGAGACGGGAAGCACGGTTGGCAGGACGCCACGGTCGGTGAAGTTTTCCCACCGAATTATGTGTGGCATGTTCAAGCCCCAAAGGGGCCTCCCTTGAGAGGTGCTTTAAAAAGATATTATGGCAAGGCTCCTGCTGTGGTTGAAGTTTGCATGCAAGCTGGAGCTCAAGTGCCTAATAGATATAAGCCTATGATGAGGCTCGACATTATAGTCCCTGAAAGTGAGGAGGCCAGCTTAGTTGCTTAGTAAGTAGGATTTTTCAGCTTTATTCATAATCCATTTGATGGAGAAGTACACGGTAAAGGCATGTGGATATTGCTCAGAGGTCCATGTAGGGCCATGGGGTCACAACGCCAAACTCTGCGGAGAATTCAAGCACCAGTGGAGAGACGGGAAGCACGGTTGGCAGGACGCCACGGTCGGTGAAGTTTTCCCACCGAATTATGTGTGGCATGTTCAAGCCCCAAAGGGGCCTCCCTTGAGAGGTGCTTTAAAAAGATATTATGGCAAGGCTCCTGGTGGTTGAAGTTTGCATGCAAGCGGAGCTCAAGTGCCTAATAGATATAAGCCTATGATGAGGCTCGACATTATAGTCCCTGAAAGTGAGGAGGCCAGCTTAGTTGCTTAGTAAGTAGGATTTTTCAGCTTTATTCATAATCCATTTTCGGTGCTTTGTATCTTTTGAACTTCGTATAATTTGTTCATATTCTTATTGTGATGTTCCTAACCAAAGATGAAGAAGCCATAATCGTTACTCTATTTTATATCTTACTAATATTCTAAAGACCAAAGAATTGTGTAAATGTATATAACTAATTATGGTAAGGGTTTTTTAAGTTCCGAACATATTTATTGAAGATTGTTCGTGAAGAATTATTTTAGAGAAATATGATTCATTTAGTCTATTATAATGTATCATTATTTCATCTAAACCATAAATGTAACATTATTTTTATACTATGTTATTAACAAAGTTCTAAACATTATGATAATTCTAGGTCAATTAATGTCAGTGTCACTATAACTCCTATTTAAGTAAATCGTTAGGTCAGTTGGGTTTGATAAAAAAATGTTATAGGACAGATGGATCTTGGGATTTAATATCATTCAGAGTTAATGTCTTGTTATTTAATAATTTAATATGTTTTGTGATTTAAGCAAATGCAATAATTTTCTTTTCTAAAAATCTTATAAAAGGTAATTGCAATTATGAAAAACAATAATAAATAAATGTAAAATATAAAATTATACTCCTAATAAATAAACAAGAACCTCCCTTTGTTTGGGAGAAAAGAACCGAAGATGAGCTACCTGTTACCGACATTGACGAAGAAGAAAGAAGTAGACACGATCATCAGAGATACCATTGACAAGGTCCTGGTCCTTCGATTCGGTCGAGCCGACGATGCTGTCTGTCTCCAACTAGATGATATCCTTGCGAAGACGGCGCGTGAGGTTTCCAAATTCGCGACGGTGGCTTTAGTCGACGTAGATTCCGAGGATGTTCAGGTTTACGTTAAGTATTTCGATATCACTTTGATTCCTTCGACTATTTTCTTCTTCAATGCTCATCATATGAAGATGGACTCTGGGTATTTAGTTTTACCTCTTTATCCTTATGTTTTTGTTTGCAATTCGGTTAAATGAATTAAATTCTGCTGTTGGTTCGTTCCTTATTTGCTTTTCTTTAGTTACCGACATAAAAAGCATGATTAGCTAATTATATGTGTTTTAATTATGTTTGGAATTTGGGTTTTATGAACTGCAATGACCTCTTGTTTTCAAACAAAAAAAATGATCTCTGCATCAGATTGGAAGCATTTAGAGACTGTAGTTCAGATGTTAGGGTTCTTCTGCAATTGGTTAATGTTGTGTTATTGTGATTTAGGACCGCGGATCACACGAAATGGGTGGGAGCATTTCATGAAAAGCAGAACTTCATAGATGTTGTAGAGGTATGCTTTATATAGCGCCTAAACAATTTCATGATCTATCAATCTCATTACTTTGTGAGTGATGTAGTTTATTCATGTAACCATTATTGTTTATGTTATCCGTTGGACTTAATTACTAATCGTAGTTAACAATTCCTAGTCTGTAAGTCATCTGCCATGGTCCAATAATTGAAATGAACAATACCTGATAACTTGACGTCATTAAGAAAGTTAGGGAACTGTGATTTATCTTGGTCTAGGAAGTACGGACATAGTTGAAGCTCCTGTATTCTACTTTTGACATGCCAGAATATGTACCAGACTTGGTCGGTCGGATACAGCATAAAAAGTTACAAAATCTTCAATCAGAAACTGTGATAGACAGTAAATTGTTTCAGAACAAATCGAAGAGAAAAATAAAATAAAGGAATTGCTGTCGTTGAAGCAACGGTGACTGGCTGGGGAAGGTGAAGAAAAAACCTCCTACGCTGTGCTGGTATTAATAAAAATAATTTTTCAAAACTATCATGTTCTCATGTCTGCATCCGTGTTTCGTAGATCTTGGTTTTAAGCTTCAGAAGTTAGGCTGTGTGAGTTTTAGACAGTGAGCTTTCTTGTTAGTTGTGTCTCCGTATGTTATTCTAGTTGTCAACTGTCTTCTTTGTTGTTTGTGCTAAGAAATCTTCTCACGGTAGCTTTTATGGATAGGCAGTTGCTACAAAAGTAATAACTGCTGGTAATGAATTTTGGATTCCTACTTCTACGTTGATATTGACGTCTTCGCTTGGAGTTAATCTTTCGTACCTGACCTTGCAGGCAATATTTAGGGGAGCCATGAAAGGCAAGTTGATTGTTCATTGCCCTCTTCCCTCAGAACGAATACCAAGATATCAATTGCTATACAAGGACGTATAAATTTTGGGGTCTTCAAACAGATCCTTTGAAACTTTGGAGTGTCACTGAACCCGCTGATGAATGATTTCAGTTAAAATAAGGTAATGAAACAGGGTGCTTGATCCAGAGACTAAGGTGTCAGTTGAAATGAAGTCTTAGGTCTTGGGCAGTAAAGGTTCAATCAATGTACCAAAACCAGATTAGGTGTAACTAAAGATCATACTCGTATGACTTCATTTTTGAACTCCTACCTTGATCCAAATCCGAAATAAAAGGTCAATCAATTTATATGATTCATTGACTCATTGTCAACAGAGCTTCTTGGATTTTGAGGTCTTTGTTTTGAGTCTTCTCAGCATATCTAACTTCTGTTTAGATATATATATATATATATATATATATGTTTGTATGTATCTCTCTTGATTTTATCTTCCTAATGAATACTTTATTGATTACTGATTATGATTGGTTGCCTTACCTCGAATGTGTTAAATTGGTTTCCTTAGAGATACGGATTGAAACCCGGCTGGTAGGAGAGCAACATATCTCAAGGTCCTCATCTTCTACCTTTATATTTTTTAAATTTTTATTCGGGATCTTAAAGATGTTCGAGACGATCTGTACAATCCATCAAGTTGGTTAGTGGAAAGCGTCTAGAAATGCTAGAAATTGCTGACCAACAATCTAGGAATTCATGACTCGAGACTTGGGAGTCAAGGGTTTTACTCATGAATCCCAATTTTAAAATAATTAAATTCAGAAGACAAGCGCGTTGTCTCCTACCAGTCTTGCAGGTGAAAGACCTTGAATCTATGTAGTCTTTATGAAATTATTTGTCAAAGTATATACACAAAATCTAGATTTTTATGAGTTGTTTGGATTATTCTATTGCTATTTTCTTCCTCATAACAGATCGATTGTCAGCTTCCCTATGAAATTATTCTCAGTAGATGAATCTACTAAAACCTTGTTGCCTGCTCGTTGAATCATCCCAACAAGATATTTTGGTTTCTTATTTGTCAAGATGATTTATCCTGCAGAAAATCCATACAACATTCCACAGCCATAACTCATCATCACGAACAGTGAACACTATATAGCAGTAACGGTTTCAGACTGCACGACCGTCACACCACCAATGAATGTAATAGCATCTGTCATATCTACAATTGTGATAAACACATATCTGAAGCTGTGATAAACATAACGCAATTGAAAACGTGACTGCAATAACAATTTAAATCTCCAAGTTTAATCATTCAAAAAAGTTCAAGCCAGTCAACTGCCAAGCAATTTCCCAAAGAAGTTTGTTGCAAAGGTTAGTTATAAGAACGGGGCTCGTCGAACTGATTCACATGGCCGCAGGGTAAAGAACACCTGCTCTAATTCCTCGTTCTTGAAGATGTTTAAATGCTTTTGCAAAGTTAGATGCGGTAAATCTGCAATTAACTACTATCATATCTGCCATCTCTCATTTCCAATTTCTAAAACTTAGCAGAAAAGCAAATAACAAAGATCAAGCCTTTTCCGGTAATTTTTTTTAAACTTAGGTTTCAGATTCTCTTGGAAACTGCACAGGGGCTGCAGCAAGTTCAAACATCTCTTGACCTCTTGAGATAATAATCATCTCTTTGACAACTAAAGTAATTTAGTTTGTACAATTGTAAAATATGTTGTATTTAAAAAAATAAAATTTGAATCTTAAAAGCACATTGTTATATAAAACATTCCTTCCCATCTCTAACGTCAATTAACCAATTTAACTAAAGCAGGCTGAAATGGTTAATATTTAGCTTCAATGATTGAAGCTAAATTGCAAGTAAAAGAAGAGTAGTGGCACTCTTCATTTCAGGGACAAAAGTAAATGTCGTTTTGTGAGTAATGAGTCTGTTTGCTAGACTTTAGTGAAACATTGCCTCAATCATTGTCATTCCCCTTTTCGATTGGTTACTCCAAAATTGATACTCCCAAAATAATTTTCAGATAATGTCTTCGTTTTAAAATCGTACGGGACCAATTCGTTAGATCGGTTGGATCAGACATTAATGAGTAAAACATGTCAGATAATGTCATTTGTTAAAAATAAACTGAAACGATTTAAAACTAAAGAAATAGATCATAAGGGATTTAAAAGTAAAATAGAAATATCAATAATAGACTTCATAATTTTTTTTTTACAAATTATAAATTTAACCATTGTTTTTATAATCTCATAATAAAGAAATGTTATAATTCACCTTAAAAAGTAGACGTAAACCAAAAATTAACTCCAGCACATGTTAAAAAAGCTAAAACTTATAGTAGTCTTTCGTGTTGGATTCTTTCAGAAGTTCATCAGTTATATCGACACTCACACGCACCTTCCATCAATATCAATTTATATTTGTGCACAACTTCAATTCCGCTAACAACAATATACCCTCTTGCATGATAAAGCAGAGATATTATGACATACTTTTCAAGTTCGTAGAAAATCATAAATGTCTCGTGTGACGAACGAAATTGCATTAGTTCTCGACTTGGAGCCTTTTTTTTTACTTGTTCCACTTGAACAATCTCTCTTTATATACTCAGCCTTCCCTCACCTCCATCAAACTACATTCTTTTCCTTTTTCTCTCGATTAATGTTAATATAAAGTCTCTTAAAATCACAAATCATAAAATTACGACCTCTATTTTTCGACATTCTCTGAAAAGATTATCCAAATATGTATTTGGATATTTGTGTTGCAACTCAAAATTCACTTAAAATCATTAGGCTTCATTGTATATTTCTCTAAAACACTTTTACATATCAATATATAAAACTAAAACAAATAAAACTTTTAAAAAATAACATGACAACGTGTTTTGACGCTTTTGATTGAGATCATGACAAGTACCAAAATATATACACAAAGATGATGAAACATAAGGATTGAGAGAATAGTTAATTAGTTTTGAGTATGAAATTACTTGGTTTTTAGCCAATAATAGGAACAAAAATGCTGCCCATGATAAACTTGGTTCGTACAAGTAAATACAGAAAGGTACAGAAGCCAAACACGATTTGCGATATAAAGTCAAACAGGAAGACCCCAAATCTCCCTATGTGGGTCCATCCATAAAAGAAGGTTTCCATTTGTGTTGTGTTCTTTTCACAAACTTGTAGACAACAAATCCATGCATCGACGAAATGATGAAGCATCAACCGTGAGATAGAGAGATGGAGTTACATAACTTTTGGGGTAAGTGTATGAAACTTCACTATTCATAGATTTATCACAAGATTTTATGGTGAGTTGGTTAGGCATCCCTGGGGGCCCTTAACTCATGGAAAGCAATGGATGTCCAAACACATATTTTTTATGAACTAATTTTGAACTCAAATTTTTATAATTTCATACCTTCTAATTTTTTAATATATTTTTTTTAAATTCATATATTCTAATATAAAATTTCATGTCCGTTCGTGCGGAGAAGTGATGAAAACAGTGGCTTTGATAATATGGCAGCCAAGAAATTACGTGAAAGTCATGTGAAGGGGCTGAGGTTTTCATTTTTCCATCATAGCATAAATAGCCTCTGCAAATCTAAAAGCTTTCAGCTTATCTTCTTTTATGGTTTTAATGAAAGCAACTGTTCATAAGACCACTGTTCATACATGACCATTTAACCAGTTCTTCAGGTCCTAGGCTGTCTTTCTTCATACATGACCATTTGTCAGAATTATTCTTTTTGAAAACCAAAGCTCTAATTCATAAACAAAACCTGTAGATCTCAGGGTAATAAATTATTCCGTTGGAATATTTGTGTTGGTAGAGTTGATGGCTTAGATTTGATTTAATAGGTTGAGTGATTCTTTTTTTTCATGAGGCGACTAATTCTCAAATCCTATTGATAGATATTACAGACTATATATACACAAATACTTTGTTCCCTTTCCTTTTCCTTGCTTTCTTTTTCTTCTTTGGTTGGGTGTTTCTAGGTTTAAACAATGATATTTTATGTTAAATTCATAGGGTTTTGAGATATATTGGCATAGCATTAGTTACATTTTTTATACCTAAGCTTCTTAGAAATGATTCAATAACTTTATCTACGTACCCTCCAACTGTTTGATTAATACTTCTGTCAGTCGTATTGACTGAGGTAAAATTACAAACTTTTTTCTTATGCATATTAATATACTTTTTTCACAACTTTTTTGGGTCCACATTGATACCTAAATTTTTTTATTTTTCTTATATCTATACTTTTTTACAATAGTTTTAGTTTTTTTTTACATTTTTAAAATTTTTATTTTTTGATAATATCCATTACCATTCTTATATATGAGTATAAATTATTCGAATTGTTAATTTTAAGAATATATACACCTTAATTCATGTTCAATTCAATCATTTAAACATGAATTATTATTAAAAGTTCTATTTGGATGGACCAAATTAAATTGCAACTTATCGTTATTCGAATAACTTGAGAACTAAGCTTGGAAATCTAAAGAGTATTTTTTTTTTCTAAATGGAAAGCAAACATGATGTGGTTTCGACATTCGGCTCCCCTCAAAGTATGAACATTTGTTTGTCTACCGTTCATCTCTCTCAGGATTCCCAGTCTGAGAAACTTATAGCCCCTTTTTCTTTTATTGCTCAGAGCGAATCGCTGAACTGTATAAGCATTGGGATCGAAAATGACGGATGAAAGCCACTTTTTTTAATTTATTAATCACTTCCTTAATTTCTCTCTCCCTCGTTAATGTATAAAGAAATTTCCATATCCAACATTTCTGAAAATTTGTTTTGCAAAAGTAGTTTGTCTCGTTTGTATTTGAAGTACAATGATTCTTGGTCAAAATCTGATGCATAATCAGAAATAATAATAAAAAAGCGCAATTTGAACTGTGGAAAGCTAATTCAGCTTGGATTTGCTTTTATTAAACGAATAAACTTAGCTGTTTCTTTGTGGTTCATATCTGGGGTTGGCAAAGTTACATTGAGACTAATATAGTTTGATTATAAAAATATATAAAATAAAGAGTAAATTGTACTTACAATCACCCGGTAATTATTATATTTTTATTAGGTTATGTTATTATTTATATTTGATCTTCCTCTAATGTTTGATTCTAATTACGTTCCGAAGCATTGATATGGTGACCGAGGTTCAGTTCATAGCCAACCAGAAGAGGGTCCATTGCTATTCCATCAATACCTTGCATAGGACACTTCGAAACACACTTTATAGTCTCGAATAAAGTAACCATGTCCCCTAAATATTACAACATTTGCATGTGTTTTGTGAATATGTCTTCTGAATCAAACCCAAAGCCCCCCATAATTCAAGTAAAGAATAATTCATGTCATTTCATTCATTATATATACAAGAATGCATTCTCAATGATTTCTCATTCAAATATGTTATTTCCATTGTAGTTTTTGCAGAAGAAGAAGAAGAAAAGTGAAAGGTTGTAGTTTGTTTTATCAAAAAAAAAAAAGCAAACACCTTTGATCTGTAAGTTGATTCTACCCTTTCCTTATTCCTAACCCTAACCCCATATTCTTTTGTCTACTTTTCCCATGGCCCCATTCACCATTCTCTTTCTTGCTTTCGTTCTTCATAGTGAGTGTCTAAGTGACTAACTGTGATGTGTTTGAAAACAGTAACGAGTGAGTGAGTGAGTGAGTATACTCTTTTTAGTGCTGCCTGCCATGGCACTACAAATCCCACGTTTCTCTCAGCCTGCCTTTACCTTCTTTTTTAATAGTTTCTTCAATTTCATTTTCTTTTCCTTTTCTTCTTTCTCTTTGATGTAATTTTTTTGTTGTTTGATGACTTGATCATATAATTATGTACTTTGTGTCTGCGTTTGATTTGTTGTTCTCTTCATCAAGCTTCTCTTTCTGTTTTTTGCTTTAAATTTAATTCAAAGCAATTTTATTTTTCCTTTTTTTAAGAAAATTGTTTGGCATCAGAGAAAATAAGATGTCAAGCTCCAACAATTCTGCACCAGAACAACTCTGCTACATCCCTTGCAACCTTTGCAACATCACTCTTGCGGTATTTAATTTTGATCCTAAACCCTTTTTCCCTTCTTATTTAATGTTTTTATATAAATCTAATACACATCATCATCATCACCACGATGTCAGTTTCTGTTACTGAAACACATAACGCCTTTGTATAATTGGAGAAGAATGCTAGGTCTTCAGTCGTTCAATATATATAAATAAATAAACCAAAGTTGCTTTTGCTCATAAAATTCCCAGTTTCAATTTATATCAAAGACCCAAACTTTCAAAAGCTTTCTTCTTTCATTTTTCTTTGCAAGAGAATCTTATTTTGTTGGGTTTCTCTTCTGTATGATTATTTTAGGGTTTTATTCTAATGAAGTTAGGTCACTTTCACAAGACTTCTTTTCTCATTCTTTTGCAGAAAAGTCATAAGTTCCCTTAATTTCTTTCTCTTTTGCAGTTCTTATCCTCTGATCTCAGTGAAGTTGTTGAAAAATGGGTCTTAAGTTCATTTTTTTTAGAGAAAACAATAATGGGATGATAGATTAGCTGATATTATTGGAAGAAGATGGAATCTCCTTCAAATTTCACCTTTTCCCTATTAGAATAGGGCACCATCTGCTTTGATGTTTTTGTTTTCTTTTTTGTAAAGCCCAAAAGCTTCTCTCTCTCTCTCTCTCTTTTCCTTTTAATATAATGGAAAACGGAAGGGATTAGCTCTGTTGTCTTCCTCAAAACCCCCATTTTCATGTAGGAAAGATGCTTTCGAACGATGAGAAAGTCCAGCCAGTGTTTGACTACCCATAAAAATAAAAAAATATCAAACAAAGCCCTAGATTTTTTACTGATTGGAATTTTAGACAAAAAAACCTTTCTCTTTTTTCTTAAAGGACATGGAAAGATCCCATGTTGTTCGTTTATATTTTCCATTTGGACAAAAAAAGGCTTAATTTTCTAACAAGCAAACGATCTTCATGTAAAAGGGTTTCATGAGCTAAAATCTGTACATGATTTTCTGCAGGTGAATGTACCATGCAGCAGCTTGTTTGAAACGGTAACAGTCCGATGTGGGCAGTGCACCAATCTTTGTTCAGTGAATTTGGCGGCTTCCTTTCAAACAAGGGCTGGAAAAGATATTCAGGTTTTCTTTTTCAATTTTATTTTCTTGTAGATCCAGGTTTTCTGGGATTTTATCTCTTTCCAAGGAAAATCCTATAGTTTTTCTTAGCCCCTTGAAACTTAGGGTTTCTGAGCCTTCAGATCCCAGAGAAAAAGACCCTATGTGCTGCTAATTAGTGCAATGCAAAGTTTTAGGGTTTCCCATTTTTCATTGATTGGGCCTCAACTCTTAAATGCTGATTGACATGAATCTTTGATTTTATATATACTTTGATCACTACACTGTTTTATCCTTTCTCTTAAGTTTTGTCTTCAGTGTGGTTTTTTCCCTTTGTTTGCTCATTTTATGGGGAAACTGAATCCAAATAAAGGTTTGAGAAAAAGCAGATGGATAATGCTGTGTCTTCGCAGACAATATTTAACCATGTTTGATCATGCATTCGTGCCTGTCCAATCAAAGAGATAGATTCCCAATCTAGTACTTAACAGTGGAACCTAGTAAACTTGGAGATGCGACTAAGGTCATCTCCAAGCTATTAAATCAACATTATATAATTAAAAATGCATCGTGATTTCAATTTAAATCCCAAAATATTGTTAATTGATATCGGTTTTATTGGATGTTTAGGTGCCTAACTACAGCTCATCGGAGTACAGAATTGACCTAGGCTCTTCCTCCAGAAGCAAGAATAAGCCGCTACCCAAGCGACCAACAACTTTAAACACAACAACTCCAGAAAGGGTTGTTAACCGACGTGAGTATTATTTGTGTTTAATTCATTTCATTAACTCTTGGATTTTGGGTTTAGGGTTTCATTTTTTATCTACATTTCATAGACTGCTATTTCTCTTTTTTTTCCCAGCTCCTGACAAGAGGCATAGGGCTCCTTCATTGTACAATCAGTTCATCAAGTAATTTGATCATAATTATACTGATTTTGTTATGATTAATTCATGATTATAAACTAAAAAAATGTGGTATCTTTATAGGGAGGAGATCCAAAGGATCAAGATGAGCAATCCTGACATCACTCATAGGGAGGCATTTAGCACTGCTGCTAAGAATGTAAGTTCAACATTCATTTTTCATGGTCAAAAAACAAAATGATCATATACGTATCTCATTCTTCACGACCGACTGAATCATTATAAGGTTGTTAGCTCTATTATTGTAATATCTTGAAAGTCACGAGTTCGAATACAGTTAATCATGTAATTCTCTTCGAGGTGTAAGGGAATTTTAATTACAGGAAATTAATGATTATAACAGAGTTCCGTTTTTGTGTCCTCAACTGCAGTGGGCTCGATTCCCTCACGTTCATTTTGGACTGATGTTGGAGAATGATAATCAACCTAAGCTCAACGATGTAAGTAGCATTTACATTTATTTGAGCCATTGGGTAAAAGTATTGTACTAATTAGACTTATAGTGTGAAGTATATTCTGGTTTTATATTTTTAAAATAGGTAAAAATGTGACTGCCCGTCGGTAAAATGAGAGAAATGGACATTTTTAACAAGTTTTCATAGATTTTATCGATATGTGGTCACTTAAAAATAGTATTATATATCTTTAAACTATGATTACATATGAAATTAATAATTTTTTTAATTGTTATGAAAATATATATGGCCATTGATTTGTTTCTTAAGGTAAATAAATCTATGTCCTCATTTTTACCTAACCTACTGCTAAGACTAGAAAGATTAACACTGGTTTGTTTGTGTTTATTTTTGTTTAATTTTGTTTACAGGACTCAACTGAGCCATTCCATCAACTGCTTAAGTGAATAAAAGACAATTGATTTTATAAGATAATTTTGCTTCTATATTATATGGATGTTGTTGAAATAAAAGGCTTCCATTTATGAGGGTTGTATGAACTTAAATCTGTTTGTTGAACAACTTTGCTTTATCTATTAATATATGTCATGATTGAAGTTATTATATATATTGAGCTTTGATAACTTGTTCACTATTTTAGTTAGTTAAACACGATTTATTTAACTCTAATTAAAGCTCAATGAAATATTGGATTAATAATTTACATATTAATATCATTCAAAGAGCCAGGATTCAAGTTATTCAGTTTTACCTTCTATTTTATTTTAAAATTAGCATTTCAGTTGTATTTTTATTTGATCTTAAACATATATTCCTTTTCCTAATGAATGATTTTTGCAAGCGTGAGATAATTCTTTCACAAGATGACTACAACTTTCATATAAGTTTCAACATTTAATTCTCCCAATTTTTTTGATACATATATATTAATGATATACATAATTTATCTTGTTAGAGTTTTTTTTTAAAAAACCCTTTTAAGATAAATATTTTAAATAACGTTCACTAAGACTTAATCGATTCTTCAATAAATTTAATGTTATATTTTTAAGAACTTTATCCTTGATTAATAGAATTAGAAATTAAATTATTTTGAATTAAAGTATATACAATTTAAATACAATAAAAGAAGCATAAGTATAGTTTTAATAGGATATGATGTGATTTAACAATAACTAATTTTTTTTTTGAAAAAAACAACTTTAAAAAATTATAATTTTCACTATAAATTTGTTTTTATTATATTGAAAATATTAAAAAATCCATTAAAATAAAAGCACTAAAAAATTCTAAAGACAGAACATAAAACATATACATTTTAGGATTATCGATTTCAAAGAGACCGAGTCAAGGTTTGAAACAAAAACAACTCCCACCAAACTCCGTTTCATCACCACCAATTATTTACTGCCACGTCTCATAAATTGTTTGGCTTATCCGTGTCCCCTCACCGCGCTGTCATTCTTGCAACCGTCGGTCATCATTTTCTCACCCATTTCCCTTTTTATGTTCATTTTCTCCGCATAAAATCCCCCCTCTTAATCTCCTCTCAAAAGCAAATTTCACCGAAAAAGAATTTTTTTGGAAGCCTTTGAACCGATGTCGTCTCCTTCGTCGTTTAGGAAAACCTCGTGCATTTCACGGAGATTCTCGAGGTCATTGAGACAATCATCAGCCAGAACGGCGGCGTTCGCAACAGTCTCAACCAGGGAGGCTCAGCCGGAGTCTTCTGATTCGTCGCCGTCTATGCCGGCGGATGGAGGGGATTCGTGGTCGACGTTGCTGCCGGAGCTGTTAATTGAGATCATGGAGCGCGTGGAAGCGAGTGAAGAAATGTGGCCCGGAAGGAAAGACGTGGTTGCTTGCGCTTGCGTGTGTAAGAAGTGGAGAGAAGTTACTAGAAAGATCGTTAAGGCTTCTCCTCAAAATAGCGGCAAAATCACTTTCCCTTCCTGTCTTAAGCAGGTAATTCAATTTTTTTGCTTTTTTTTAATTGAAATTGAAATATAATTTCATTATCTGGTACAAATGTTTTAAGGTAGCATGTATAAATTTCATTAAGGTTTTAAATATTTGAAATTTAGAGTAGTTTAATTTTTTAGGATTTGGAGTGTTTGCGAGTTGGGATGATTTGTGGGGAATTGGTGTAAATTAGTCTTTTGGGGAGTTACTTGTTTTGTTCTAGTTTATGGTAATGTTATTTTCTGATAGTTCTTATTGATTGATGCCTTTTATTCCTGGTATTTAATTTAGGGAATTAGTTTGTGCTTCTTCTTTGTATTATAAGGGAAATATTCTAGGTATAGAGGTACACAATTCCTATCAAATGACATTTTTCTGGTTTTTGGAAGTTAAACTTAGTTCAAATTTTAACCACGTAGTGTCAAGTTTAAGCTTTTAACATGTTTTACTTCTACTAGAAATGACACTTTTTTTGCTGTTACGGAAGTGAATTATCCTTTGGAGGGTTGGGATTTGTTTTCTGGGCACTCCCAATAATCAGAAATTTTTTTGTTTCGAATCACACAAATTGAGAATAAATAGAGGTTCTGTCTTTTGTCATCTTTAACTGTAATCACTTATTGCTATTAGTTTGGATTTTTACAGAATTTCAGCTGCTTTGCAGTTGCTGGTTACGAGTATAGAATGCTTTTGGGATTCAGAGTTATCGATCGATGAATAAGTCAATATGTTTTGGAGCTGATGGTTTTATTCTCTTTTGTTATGCAGCCTGGTCCACTGGAGTTTCCAAACCAGTGCATTATAAAGCGGAACAGAAAAAACTCGACATTTTTCCTTTATCTTGCCTTTTCACCATGTAAGTACTTTTTCTTCACAAGCAAAACTTGACAAGAACGTGTTAATTAGACTGATATGCTGAAATACATGCGGAAAAAAGGGTTAAAAGGGACATAATCTGCTTTGTCAAAGGTCTTAAATTGACTTTTGACTTCCATTTAGGTAGGTGCAAAACTATGGACTTCTAACCTAATACCTTTGACCAAGTCAGTCATACTTGATCTCAACCTTTCAAAATCTATATAATCGTTTAGACTGATTATCAATTTGCCTATTGGTCTTAGATTTGGGTTTTTTTTAATGTGATGATGCCAGTCTGCTCACCATTTTCTCTTGAAAACAATGTACACTTGCTAATGTTGTTTTACTAGAACTCGTCTTCACATTCTTGTAACCAGTCTTTGAAGGGTGTGTGGATAAGTCTCCTGTGCTTGGTTCTTAAATTATATCTTCTGTTTTTTATTTACCAGCAGCTTCTAATCTGTATGCTATTACACTCTGGACTCATCTCTTCATGCGGCTGGGTTTTTCTTTAAAAACTTTGTGTTGGAATAATCTTGTAATAAGCATAATAAAATCATGACTGTGGCTTCTGAGAGTGAAGATATGGATCACTAAACAGTTTGATATGTTTCAAGTTTCTGGTCTCACTAGTCTTCTTTAGTTGTGGTGGCATTGTATTCAACATGATGACAGGTTGATAACTGTGTTGGCTATGTTGTTGACACAGGCATATGAATGAAGCTATTGCTCAAGTCGTAAGGATCTGATTATGTAACCTCTTTGCACCCCACTCTCTGTCTTTTACGCTCTTGATATCTTTCCATCTTCAGAGATGCAGGGTAGTGATATTTTCCTTATGGAAGTGGCAAATTTGGGCAATGGAAAACATGCTAGGATAACAATGATTCCCTTCCTTTCAGTTATATATTTAACAATTCACTTAGTAAAGATGCCCGGGTCATTGTGTTATTACTAAGTACAGAGTTTAAAATCTTATTTCCAATTTGATTTTACACCTAACATTTCTTTGCCTGATTTAAGTATGTTACAATCAGTCTGGTATCAATTATTCTTTTTCCTCAAAGATGATGCTGCCAGTTATAAAGCTATATAGGTTAGCTTTTGTTTATAAACCAAGACATTTTTGTCTTTTGATTTTAGTTAATCAGAGAATGCGGTAGGGTTTATTATGGTTTAACCAATCTTTAGCAGTTGTCTTTTTGGCCAACATGCAACTGGATGACATTACATGTCTGTGGTTGAAATCTACTTTATTTAGTCTTTTCCTGATGTTGGCAGCATTCACTGACAAGGGGAAGATACTATTAGCAGCACGAAGATATCGACATGGTGCTCATATTGAGTATATTATATCCCTTGATCCAAATGAACTATCTCAAGGCAGTAATGCCTATGTCGGGAAGCTAAGGTACGTGGCTCATATCTTGTGCTCTCTCTTGCTGAAATTCTGTTTACAGGATCTGTTTGTTTTGGATATGGTGGATACGGGTTTTATAGAAGTACAATTTACATTTTACTATATACCTTTTAAGGAACAAAAACTTCTATGTGGTGGCCGTTAAAGGGACAGCCATTTTTTGAGGAACAATATTCATGATGCCATTACTTTCTTTTCTTGTTACAAGTTACAAAAAAAAAAAAATCGAATCTTTATGGTTCACTTTATAATTCAGCTGACACAAATTCAAAATCTTTGTAGTTCGGATTTTCTAGGTACCAACTTTAAAATCTATGACAGTCAGCCGCCACATAGTGATGCAAAGCCCTCCAGCTGCAGATCAAGTCGCAGATTTGCAAGTAAGCAAATCTGCCCCCAAGTTTCAGCTGGCAGTTTCGAGGTTGGGCAAGTGTCTTACAAGTTCAATCTCTTGAAATCAAGAGGTCCCAGGAGGATGATTTGCTCAATACAGTGCCCTTTGCCAGAAAATATGGTTGATGACAGGCATTTAGATAACACTGAGATGAAAATGCCAGAGCATGATGTATCCGGCCATACAACTTTGAGGAACAAAGCTCCAAGATGGCATGAACATTTACAGTGCTGGTGCTTGAATTTCCATGGTCGGGTAACTGTAGCATCCGTGAAAAACTTTCAGCTGGCTGCAACTGTGGAGCAGAGCCAACCGGGAGGGAAAGAAGAGGAGGAAACTGTTCTACAGTTTGGTAAAGTAGCGGATGATACATTCACCATGGATTATAGGCAGCCCTTGTCAGCTTTTCTTGCTTTTGCCATCTGCCTTACAAGCTTTGGTACAAAACTGGCTTGTGAGTGATTCAATGTCGATGTACTATATATATATAAACAAGTTGTTCTGCATGTTAAGTATAATGTTTTTTAAAATTTCACTTTCAAATCTTGTAGACAGCCTTGGCTTAGTGAGACAAAGCAAATAATGTACATGTTTCTCTTGTATCTAATAACATTTACTGAAATTATTGGCTGCAAAAATGTCTTACTGTTCATATTGTGTATATTACATCAAGATGAAAGTACTTTAATGACTTTGCTAACAAGCCATAGAAAGGCATTCTCTAAGGTTTTCATATCAAGAAATATCGTGCAACATTCAAGAGAATTCCTTGAAACATTCAAGAACACAAACCTCATAGTCATCAGACAAAGTCGAAGACACTGTTATTACACACAAACCATAGTACCAGTAGTGAAACATTTATTTACATTACAAAGTTTTAGGACTCGGACACTGAACACCATATTCGAGTTCTGTTTGACGTAACGATAAGACCCTGCTCACTTCTTCCCTCGCAGCTTTGTACCAAGTGCCCTCTCGAGTTTACCAATTATCTGCTGGTTAGGAATAGCTTTTCCAGATTCATACTCTTGTATGATTTGAGGCTTCTCGTTGATCATCTGTAGGATGACATGAAAGATTCAATGAAAGAACTTAACAATAAATAAGGGAGCTGTAACACTCTTAGGGAATAAGAATCAGCATACACATGGATGAACAAAGAGACCTGGGCAAGTTGAGCCTGGGTGAGTTTCTTATCCGTTCGGGCCTGCATGATGGCTTTCTTCAGTTCTGTTGGCACTCGTTCATCTGTTCATTAGTTTTTAAACACGGTCAAACACTTGGGAGGCTAGACTTAGGGTCATATTATAATATCCGATTATGTAAATGAGAAGAGCATCTCGCTTGTTACAAAAGGAGAGCGAAGGAGATCACCGAAACATGTAATCAGGTTATTCACGAAATTATGTAAATGAGAAGGCAGCATAATTGATCTTTTAAAGCAATATTGAACAACTAATTCGACTTGTACGTGATAAAAATGAGGGATGGAAGGAAAGGGAATAAAGGATTTCTTACGAGCAAGATTTTCAGTTTCTTCATCAAGCTTCCTTGTATTCAAAGTAGTACCACTAGATGCTGCCTTGTTCGTCCCAGCATTCGCTGCAAATTCCCATTTACAAGAAACAGATTTTCATTATTCGCTATCATCAATAAAAAATAACCCTAATTGATATTAAAAAATGAAAACTATATTAGGTATTTCCAATTTTTTCCCAAAAGAAAAGGAGGATTTTAAAAAAAAAAGATACATTTTTTGACGGATTCGATCTCGGCGCCAGCTCGACGGGCGGCGTTGACGACTTTCTCATCCTTCTTGGTTGCGGCGCTTGGGGCTTTTTTCCGAATCACAACAGGCTCCCAGTCTTGAGTCAAAGGTCCGATTCCGGCCATTTTTGCAAGCTCTTGAATTCCTTTGATCGGATTAAAGGGAAGTGAAAGTAAGGAATCGAAAAGAGAAATTTTCTTCTCTTTTTCTGGTTAGAATTCGTGTATTTATAGGTAGTATTAATGATCTGAGTAAAAATTAAACATTAATTATCTAATATTATCCAATTATTAATTTATTAATTACTATTATTAGATGACGTGGTATTAATCCTTATAAATGTTAAAAGTTTTTTGGACTGGACTTCTGATTTGGGCTTCTTATAATGTCCGAAGCCTCGTCCAGATTAGAAGTTTTGTAGGTTAAATTTTTTTAATCCTTTTATAATATATAAATTGTAGATTTATTTTTTGTATTTTGATTTGATAAAATTTTAATCTTATTATTATTTTAATTTTAAAATTTTGATTTCTGATTAAATTATATGATTATAAATAATCACATGATAAAATTTTAATCATTCATGATTAAAATCAATTGGTTCCTTTCCTATTTTTCCTCATTAAGTACATAATTTTGTTAGGAGAAGAAGATATTTTACTTTGAATGCACTGTCTCAATGCCTAGAAATATTTTAATTTTCTACTTTTTGATGTCAAACTTCTTCAACAGACACTACTTCGATTTGTACATGTATTTCATATCGTTATGATAGCATCTATATATACTAACATTGTTATAAAATTGGAGTGTCATAATAACTTGGGAGTCCATCGTTCTCTGTGAAAATCACAGAAAGAAATTAAACTCCTCACTCACTGTAACAGTTTTAGGGAATAAGCATCAGCATACACATGGATGAAGAGAGAGACCTGGGCAAGTTGAGTCTGGGTGAGTTTCTTATCCATTCGAGCCTGCATGATAGATTTCTTCAGTTCTGTTGGCACTCTTTCATCTGTTCATTGGTTTTTAAACACTTGGGAGCAATAATTTGATTTCATACGTAAAAACAAGTAATTTAACACTGGCATAATTCAGTTAAAATGGGACAAATAGAAGAAGAAGAAAATAACGGAAGGGAATAAAGTATTTCTTACGAGCAAAATTTTCAGTTTCTTCATCAAGCTTCCCTGTGTTCAAAGTAGTACAACTAGATGCTGCCTTGTTCGTCTCAGCATTCCCTGGAAATTCCCATTAACAAGAAATAGATTTTTATTATTGTTTTATCATCGACGAAAGAACAACCCTAATTGAGATAAAAAAAAAGTTGCAAATTATATTAGGTATTTCTCCTTTTTTTCCCACCAAAAGAAGAGGGAGAAAAAGAATAAAAAACACATTTTTTTGACGAATTCGATCTCGGCCCCGGCTCGACGGGATCCCGGAATTGAGTTAAAGGTCCGATTTCGGCCATTCTTGCACGCTCTTGAATTTCTTTGATCGGATTAAAGGAAAAGGAAAGTAAGGAATAGAAAACAGTGGCTAAGTCATAGAAGATCAATATTCATTCGAACACTACTGTATTCTTGTATTAATAGAATAGAATAAAGCGCATGAATCGGATGCATTCTCCATTGAAAAACAGTGGTTAAGTTATAGATGATCAATATTTATACTATCTTATTTTGCTATTTAATCCCTGAACTTGATTGGTTTTTTAATTTAATCCATTTGGTCTACATTAGTTTTGAAACTTAATAATTTATTCTAATTTGATTCTTAAATTTAGATTTTATCTCATATTTTAATTTTAACGGAATTTAAATTTAAAGATTAAGTAAAAAATTTATTAAATTCAATGAAAACATAATTTTATCTCTTGTATTAATATATTAAAGTCTATATTCTTAATTGATATCGAATGAATTCAAAGATCAACTCGATTAGCACGAACCAAGTTACTTCCGTAGTTAAATATTTAAGGGGTCGTTATCCCTTGAGGTTCTAAATTCGAGCATCATACATGTATGATATAAAAGTTCAATGTCAAATGTTTAGAGTTTGTTTGAGAATGTTTATGAAAGTGCTTTTGACCCAAAAATCCATTTGAAACGCAAAAACAATCTCAAACACCTCGTTTTCAACCAAAACTTCACGTTTCAATCGAGGTTATTGACTCAAACTAAAAAGCTAGAATAGCGATGCCTTTATATTGAAAAACTCGTTAAAAAAGTTTACATGAAGAAAAATTCTTAAACAAACTATCTTATATTCATATCATATTTAAACTTCATGAAGTTGTTCGAACCTGTTAGAACTTCAACCTAATAGTTAGGTTCCTATAAGTTTTAAGCTCTTTTGAGTTTCCAAATTTAAGGAAAACCCGCACCGTAATCACTCGAATTCTGATATTCATGGAGCATGCAATAATCAATAAGCAGTTCTAATGCTGTGAAGGGCTAAAAAAACCACCAAAATTTTTCTTTTAGGAATTATATCAAACACTGAAAATGCAATTAAATAATTCAAGTATAATACACTGATTTTATAAATCATATTTTGTATAATACATAATCAATTTGTTTATATCAAATTGTAGAGTTTATTGTTGAGAGGTAGCTCACAACCTTCTTTTTCTCCGCCAAAAACTACAAGAAGAAAATGAAAAAGAGTTCATTAAAGCAAATTCCATTCCACTCTCTTCTGTAGCCTCTGGCTTTACTTCCCAAATTTTACTCTCTCAGTCCATCACTACCCAAACACATTTAAGAAACACGGCAGAGCGAAACCAAAACCACCACAAAAATGGCGGGAACCCATTAAGCCTTTTCGGCCCTTCCTAAAACCCCCATATCTCTTCCTATGCTTAAGCTTTCCTTAATCCTCACCATCCCCAATAAACCCAAAATTCCTCTCTTGTTTTTCCGCTCTCTCAAAAGCCCCGACCTTTTTTCTACTTTTCACTGTTGGAGAAAGCGAAATATGTCCACCAAAATCGTAGCCGAGTATGCCAAGTCCGGAAGGTCCTCTTGCAAGAAATGTGGCGAAGCCATAACTGCTAAGGCCCTGAGGTTGGGTCTTGTTTCCAGAGATCCTAGAGGCTTTGACATGACCAAATGGCATCACTTGCATTGCTTCGCTGGGAAAATTGATTCCTTTGATGGAATAAAAGGCTTTGACTCTCTCAAGGTTGAACCTTTCTATCCTTATTCCTTGCAGCTATATATGTATATGTGTATGTGTGGGTGTGTGTGTGTGTTTGGGTTTTGATTGAAAAGTGTTTTTTTTGTTTTGATGTTGGTGGTGTTAGGGTGTTGACCAGGAAGCTTTAAAGAAATTTGCTGATGGGTCTATTAAATCGACCAAGAAGGTACTTTGTTAATTTTCAGACTTGTGATTCTAAATATGAACTGATTTCATCTCATGCTGATTAATTTACGAGTTTGCTAGTTACTTTAGCTTGGACTCTTCATAGCACAATTCAGTGTGATTTGAAAAATACTAGTTTTAATCATATCTGATTTATGTCGTGTATTGTGTCTAGGACACAGTCAATTAATAAAGTATTACTTGAATTTCAATTAAATGATGATGAACACGTTTTGTCCAAGAGGACTTAAGTTCTGTGTTTTGTTTAACTCTGCGTTGTCACGTGTGTCATGAGACGCTAAAATGTATTGCTTATTCTCTCTCCTACCTGAAACTATACATTAAGAACAGATAAGTAATTTTAACTGAAACAACCATTTCCCCGCCATTTTTATCCTGTGCAGCATATTGTCTAATGTAAATTGGCTTGAGCTAGAGTTAAGAACAAGTTTGAAAGGGGCACTTTTTGTTGGAGATTTTATTTTTTTCAGAATCGGACAGTCTCGAACCAGTACTAAATTTGTATGAAATGTAATTGTAGTCACATGCAGTTCCGATGTTTTGCCTTTCATGTAGATTCGGTTGCTGATAAAATGTGCCATGTTATCTTCACTTGGTAATGTGTTTAGCTTTCTGTGTTCTTTCTTTCCTTTTTTGTTTAGATGAAGAAGATATGCTTTAGGTGTATAAGTATTTTTGAGGATGGGAAAAAAACCCTAAAATGAAACTTATGGTTTTCCACTTTCATCTTTGTTAGTGTATCAGTTTCATTTATCTATTTCATTAACAGTTGCAGGGAAAAGAAGATGAAGGGAAAAGAAAAGAAGATGAAGAAATTGAATCAGAGAAAAGCATTTCAAAGAAAATTAAGGTAGGGGACTATCCCTTTCCACTTTCTTGCATGATATAGCGACCTTCGGAAAGGAAAGGAGAACCAGTTTTCCATTTTCACCTTTGCAATGCACTTATTATTATTTATCTATAATATTTTGTGCCATATCCTGCTCCTCATACCGAGAGGCGAGAACCTATAAATTTAAAGAAATAATGAAGTGGAGGAAAATAAGGGCAGATGATAATTTTTTTCCTCATTTCTTGTATGTTGAGAAACCTAAAGAATAAAGAAAGGAAATAACATTAATCACATATTATTAATTCCAACCACTGATTAGCTTTAAATTTGTATGCTCTTAACTAGTTGTCAGCACCTGATGAGAAAGCTCAATTGGACATAGCCTTTTCTATCTCAGATGTCAAGGATAAGTATAAGGTATAGTATATTTTTCTTGTTATTTATTTTGTTTTTGAACCTTAACATATTCTAAGGAAGTTTATTTATAGCTCATATGTTTATATAATTGTTACAAAGTTTTCTGCATTTGTCTGTTTGTATCTTTTTCTTTGCTTTAGGATGCTAATTTAGAACCAAAATGGAAGGTATTCCAGACAGTTATATTTCTTGAACGGGTAAGATGCCAATCATATAGTACAGTTGAGAAATGAAGAAAAACTGACTGCTTTCATGTTAGTGGATGCTGAAAGTTCAATAATTGGTCTAACATTGCAGATTCAATCTATTTTTATTTCTTCATACTTATTTCTTTCTGTTGAAAACATTTTGATATTTCGATATAACAAATTAAGTTAAATGAATTTTAAGATTTTCCAAAATGATTTTCTAAGTATATTCGATATAATTATTTGAATATCAAAACATTACTCAAAATATTTCAAAAATCATTTTTAATCCTTACTTAAGTGTAAAATTAAGTTTTAATCTTAAAACAATTTCAAAATAATCTTTCAAAGTATCTCGAATCATTTCAAAGCCAAAAATTCCAGAT